CCGCCATTTTTTTTTTTGTCTTTTTTGTGGGCCTCGCTCCGCCACTCGCACGCCGCCAATTTTCTTTTCTGTCTTTTGTGCATGCAAAGAGAGACCGTGGAGCGAGGCCCCAGCCCCACCACTCACCAAATGTCCAACATGAGAACAAATGCTCCTCTCTCTAGAACATAGAAAGATATACACCGCCAATTTGTTTTTGTCGTTTGTGCATGTGCAGAGTCGCGGCATATCCCGAGATACTCTGCCATTCTTTTGTTGTTGTCTTTTGTGCAAGTGCAGAGTCATGGAGCCAATCCCGAGATACACTGCCAATTTTTTTTGCCTTTTGTGCATCTGGACAGTCGTGGAGCGAGAGGCCTTGGCCCCGCCACTTACCAAATGTCCAACAGGAGAATGAATCCTCCCTTAGAACATGGAAAAATATACCGAGGACAAAAGGACACAAAAAAAAAGGCATAGAAACGACGAAACGGGTGAACTCCGCAAGTGCACCACAAAACGACAAAAAAAAACGAACGAAATCGCCGGCACAACCGGAACACTCCTACTATGTACTTGTATTCGAAGGGAAAAAAAGCTTGTTTTCATTCAGCCCGCCCCTTGTCCCTGCCCTTTTCCCAGCCTTCCCCCCCTCTCCAAAAGTAACTGTGTTTTCCCAACACTGTCACGCGGGACATAAAGGATAAAGGGCCCCCTCTCGCCAGACCTGCGTTACTCTTTATAAGGAGTACAGATAATGGAGTTCTAAGGCGGAGTTTTCTCCACGAGACCTTCGCAATACGCTGAGTTTTTTTTTCGGCTGCTTTTTTTTTCACCTTGGCACTGTTGGCAGTATGCTGACGAGGTCGGTGCTTCTCTGTTAATCTTGATTGTGGACAGAAATATCTGATCAGCTTGCACAATTGGTGGGCAAGATGCGTGAGCTGAAGGCGAAGAAAGATGAACTGAAGGTAGGTGAGGGGCTCCCAAGCAAACCATGAGGACACAGTCGTAAATTGAATAATTGGTAGGGAGGGGAATTAGCTGTCCTTTTCCTATTTTCTTTTTCACTGATTGCCGGATCCGCCTAGCGCGCCTGGCAATGATCGATATCTTAAAAAACCAAAATGTTTGTTGAATGATGACAATGTGGGAGTGACGGTTTGAGCTTTCCAAGCGAGCGTTTCACGTTTTGATGGTGGTACGTCTCATTTTGACATTGGCTACCGACTTCGCCCCCTCGGGCACAAAGCACCCTGGTCATGAATGTATACATGCTATTTTTCCGGTCTTATACTGTCGTGATAGGGTTGCATTTGGTCATGAATGTATACATTACATGCTATCTTTCCAGTCCTATGCAGTCTGGATTGGGTGCATTATGTTTGGTTTGGAAGGGGGGGGGGGGGGGGGAGGGGGGAGGGGTGAGGCGGAAGTACGGTAGCTTTCCCCAAACATAAATGCACCCCCATCATTGGATCATTTTTGGTTAGAAAGCCAAAAATGATCGATTGATGGGAAAAGGGAAGGCATGAGAAGCTTTAGGAATGGCATTGTTATCTTCTTTGGTCGTCTCCTCCTTGGAGTTGCCGTCTGCCTGCTGTCCTCCCACACCCTTTTCCTCCCCCCTCCCCTTACTCATCTCCGTCGCCCCCTTTCATCCCTGCTGCCTCTGTTTCACGTGGTCTGCGCTAATCAACTTCTGTTCTTGCAGCAGCAGCCAGTACTACTATCACTACTGGTGCTTTGACAAATGCCTCTTGCAGGCTTCCCCTGCCCCCCCCCCCCCCCCCAATCCATACCTCTTATACCCTCTCAGGCCCCACTTTTCCACAAAACGCATCCCAACCCCCCATCTGATGAAGCATCAAAACCGCCAGATGCTTGCTGCTCTGGCTGTTCACAACCCCTCCGCCCTGATGGTCCCACCCAAAGAAAGGGGAAAAAAAAAAAGACGGCGTTGTTAACTTCTCCGGAAATCCAGGTGGATGGTGTGCTGCCTCTGTGTTCTGGATCAATGACCTGCATTGTATGCCCCGGATGGTTTATGTACCACACTTCTGGATCGACCCCTGCAAGGAATTGAACCGGAGATCTTTGGCTAAACAGCCGGACACACACATGTATGCCCCACATGGTTTATGTACCTCATTTTAGGATCGACTGCGGAAGGCATCGAACCGCAGATCTCAGGCTAAACAGCCAGACACATAAACCACTGCAACCGTGATCCGTGACTCAAAGTGGAACCATACCGGCCGTGATATCTACCCCACCCCTGCGCGGTTGCAGTATACACACGCAAAGGTGCGAAGCATTCACCACCCTTTCCCACCCGCCCCGAGGTGGGGTGGGTTGTGTCAGCTCCATTCCTTTTTTCCCAGGCAGTGAAGCTGGCAAGCGGTGAAAGGGATTTGAACGCTCAATCTTAGCCTTGACAAGGCTGTACTCTACCGTTAAGCTATTTCCATCATCAATCCACTTTATTCCATGCTGTGCTCACCGTGTGTTAGATGGGTCTGGTTACCCGAGGGAGGATAGCTTGTCTTGTCCGGGTAGATAGTTTTCCCGATTGTTCGGCTTTTTTATGCTTGCCATGCTTGCTGTGCTTGCTATGCTTGCTATGCTCGCTATGCTTGTTATGCTCTCTATGCTTGCTATGCTCACTATGCTTGCTATGCTCGCTATGCTTGCTATGCTCCCTATGCTTGCTCTGCTCGGTGTGTTTGCTCTGCTCGTTATGCTTGCTATGCTCACTATGCTCTCTCTCTCTCTCTCTCTCTCTCTCTCTCTCTCTCTCTCTCTCTCTCTCTCTCT